AGTCACATGCCCTATACAGGTTGTTCCACTGGTTTCCACACGTGCAATTCTACCCCAAGCATTTGTAAGTTTAACCCCTCCAAGTTATATGTCAGCCCGTTTAGAGAAAAGGCCCAGGAGGACGTGGAGCAGCTTGCGTGCCCCTCTGCCTGTGACCAGGAGCAGTGCCCAGGCGAGGAGCTCTCCTGACCCGGTTCGGGCAGGGCCTGGGTTTCTGTCTGGGGAAACCTTGTTGGGAAGACAATGTGCCCGTCCCAGGTCCTCGATCAGAGCAACAGAAAAGTCAGCTAAGCTGAAGGGACAGAGGGGACTTACGCTTTGTTTCCAAACCATGGCCCCCAGGGTTGTGCTGGCCTTACGTGTGGGTGAAGGAGGTGAGTGCCAGCTGGGGTCATTCCAAAGGCTCCACACCACTCACCGTGCCTGAGGAGGTGCCTGGGCGGCTCATGCTTGGGCATTCCTTTGGCTTAAGGCAGTGGCTGGCAAACTGATTAGTCCACAGAGCCAAATATCAACAACACAATGATTGACATTTCTTTGGAGAGCCACATTTTTTAAACTTAAACTTCTTCTAACGTCACTTCTTCAAAATAGACTCGTCCAGGCCGTGGTATTTTGTGGAAGAGCCACACTCAAGGGGCCAAAGAGAGGTGAGGGACAGCTGTCTTCTGGGGTCTCCTGGAAGGAATCGGGGTTCTTCACGCCTGGTTTCTACTCGCAGGCGGATCTCGGCATCCGTGTTGCCTCCTCAGACAGGACTTCCTGCCCATCCACCTTTGCCAGCCCCCTGTCTGTTTCCTTCTTGGCACTCAATAAATGCTTGTTGAATGAGCATCTTTCTCTTTTCCAATTGAAATGATAATAAAAAAAATGTATAGACCATCCCCATTTTCTGTTGCCCATTAGTGACCAACAGAAGTAAAACCCCTGATCCTATTTTACTTACATATTGTTTGTAAAGTCTGCTCAGTGTCAAGGGCAATATTCAGGCCAACAATGGGGGTTTCCAGGATCTACCAGGGACTGGGAGGCGGGCAGTTTACCGTCAGCAGCGCCTTCCAGCCCAGCTGTTCTCTTGGTCTCCGCATCCAGGAAAGCGGCCCTTCGAGACACCTGCAAGGTGCCCAGTGCCTTTGTGCTTTCGTTTTCCTCTCTGCCCTCAAGATTTGCTTGTAGGGAGAAGTCTGAAACCCACTCCTAGTGCTATTCTTTATAGAAGTGTTGGTAACAGTTTAACCACGTCAGCACGTTAGCCATAGGAATAAAACACCAAGGTAGATGCGCTAGTCTTACCTGGCACTGGAGGAAGGACATTAAGGAAAGGAGCCTACAGTTTAGTGTGTTCACTACGTTATTATTCAGCTTGCCATCATAATTGGTGAACCGTTGGGGGGAGGAAAGAGGAGATGAGAGGAGAGACATGAGGTTGAAGTCACTATATAACAAGTCCCTTGGCGTGTGCAGTCTGGGTGTGATGTAAACTGTTAAGTGTTAACAGCTATGTTTATAAAACCACGAGATGCACTTTTTTTTTTTTTCTGGGAGGAAAAAAAGGATCCAGATGCTTTTTCCAGTTGGACTATGACACCTCTGGGCAGGCACCTGGCCCTTGGACAGAGGCCACTGCACCAGAGTCTCAATACTGTGTCACATGGGTACTCTCTGCCGCCCCCTTAAAAAAAAAAAAAAAAAAAAAAAAAAATATATATATATATATATATATATATATATATATATATATATATATTATTGGTTTTTACAGAGAGGAAGGGAGATGGAGAGTCAGAAACATCGATGAGAGAGAAACATTGATCAGCTGCCTCCTGCACACGCCCCACTGGGGATGTGCCCGCAACCCTGGGACCGTTCCGTCTGCAGGCGGACGCTCTATCCACTGAGCCAAACTGGTTAGGGCTCTGCCACCCTTTTTAAAAAGGTTTTCCTTCCCTGACAAACAAGACTGACTGGCAGCGCAGACAGCACTGCTAGTTGTTCCCAGCCTTTGTTCTTTCTCTAGGAAATGGCACCCAAGTCCAGCAAGCTGCTTGATCTCTGAGCCTTGGTTTCCCCAGCTGTAAACTGAATCTAGTCATTTCTGCCTCATAGGGTGGTTAAGTGAGAAACGTCACAAAGAACTGGCAGCGCAGACAGCACTGCTAGTTGTTCCCAGCCTTTGTTCTTTCTCTAGGAAATGGCACCCAAGTCCAGCAAGCTGCTTGATCAATTATCACCTAATGCCAGATTATTATTTCCCAGGCACTCTGTTGAATTCTTTGTGACGTTTCTCACTTAACCACCCTATGAGGCAGAAATGACTAGATTCAGTTTACAGCTGGGGAAACCAAGGCTCAGAGATCAAGCAGCTTGCTGGACTTGGGTGCCATTTCCTAGAGAAAGAACAAAGGCTGGGAACAACTAGCTGGGAACAACAAGGGTGGTTCCTGACCCTTTTGGGGCAAGCATCATCTCTCCTCTTTCATAAAGACATGGTCCCAATCAGAAAGGCCAGCGAAAAGCTGCCCCACTTCCAAGAAATCTTAACCCTCAGTTTCCATGTCAGTAAATGGGATACCAAGGCCTATTCCCACTTGAGGTTTTTGCTCCTCTGAAGCCTCAGCTACTCTTTAAGGCTCAGGGAAGGAGGGTCTCTCTTCTTCTATGCAGTTTTTCCATCGGTATCATTTTTTTTTTGAGCCTTGTGAATCTTAGATTAACAATAAATGAATTCCCGTTTAATTCTATTCTAATTGTTTCCTCTAAGTGAGTTAATTTGACCACCTTAGGGAGATTGTGAGGTCCCCAAAGGGAAGTTCTGGGATAATCTCTTAACATACCAGATTTTCAAATACAATATATTCAACATAATAACAAAAATCCTAAAGATAATAGCAGCAACCATGCCAACAATTATCACCTAATGCCAGATTATTATTTCCCAGGCACTCTGTTGAATTCTTTGTGACGTTTCTCACTTAACCACCCTATGAGGCAGAAATGACTAGATTCAGTTTACAGCTGGGGAAACCAAGGCTCAGAGATCAAGCAGCTTGCTGGACTCCAGCTGTCAGTCAGCAGGTGGGACTTCAACCCTTGCATGTCCGACTCGAAAGCTCTAGGCTTTACCGACCCGCTAGTGTGTGGGGCCCACGTGCTCCCCTCCCCCACCAAGTCTGCTATCCTTCTCCTGCAGTCACAGCACGGAAGAGACACAAGGAGAGAGAAACAGAGAGCCAGACTTTATTAAGACAAACGGCATATGATATTTTCTTTTTCCCATCATCAAAAAACTGATCTCACAGCATCTCTAAATCAAGAACACACACTTCACAAGACAAAGATTTCAGAGATGGAAGGAGAGAGCGTCTTTTGTGCTTTGTTTTGGAGAGTCTTGAGGCCAGCGCTGGACAATAGATAAGAGTGTATTGCAGTCAGTTCCCTCTGCCATCAGCCTTCTTTCCACCCACCAATAGCCTCCAAACACCGGCAGAGGGGCCAGGAGATAGCCAGGTGGGCTACAGGCCCAGCCTCCGTCTGAGCCCACACCCTCCTGTCCCAACCTCTCATGCCCATCCGTTTGGGCTGATGACGCTGAAGACAGTGCGGCTCGCCCCTCTGTGAGGCATCTGAGGGGCAGGAGAAAGACACAGGTTTCTCCAAGGTTTCCTTTCCTCATGTCAGACCTCCTTTTCCCTTCACCCACCCCATCGGCGCACACGCACACACACACACATACTTTGTTAAAAGTAACCATTCCCCTATACATCTCAGAGTCCAGTTCTGAGCATCCTTGACCGTCATCCAAAATGGCAACCCATCAGGGATGGACTGAATAGAGAAACCAGGCCAGTCCCTGGGCAGAGAGAGCTTCTCGGAAGTCGCCGCCTGGCGGTTTCATCAGGACACAGGGATCTCTGTGCTCTTAAATGAGAACCCTGACACGAGAGCTGGCGTTTCCCCTCGATGACTATGCCCTCAGGGGCAGAAGGATCTGGGGGCTTCCATCGCTGTCATCATCCCTCTTCTGGCACTTTCTAATTGGCAGTCAGCAAGGGAAATAAATAGGAAGAAAAATAATCGTTTTCCAGTATTTTCTCTCCTCTTTTAATTTTCATCTTCACAGCAGACTTGCGTTTTTCCCCCCAAGGGGCATCTGAGAAGCACAATGTTCTTGTTTTAATCAGACCAGGGGAGATTCCCCTGGCCTCTGTGGCTGGTGATCTGGTCAGGATCTGAGCGAGGACGATGGCTCCTCGGGCGCGCTGGCTGGTCAGGCCTTTAGGGAGCGCTGGGGGAGCAGTCACGGGTGGCCGGAGGGGAGGGTTTCTGTCATCGAGCTGACCTGTAAGGAGCGACAGGACAGGTGGGGACAGGAATTCCAGCGGGTCTGTGCACAGCGGCTCCAGAGGGGAGCGTGCACCCCCTGGCCGAATAAAGGGGGGACATCTGCCAGGCAGACATTCCAGGGCACTTGTAAAGCCGAGGCAGCTGGGCAAGCTCCAAGAACCTCTTTTTAGGTAAGACTGGGCAGAGGCAGCGGCAGCTGAGGGGGCCCCTGGCAACCTCACCGCCTCCACGGCGAGACCCGTGGGAACCACAGATTCAAGAGCGCTCCTCAGGCAAGTTCCGTGGCTCATGCTCTTTCCTGGCTGGGAGCTCCGGGGCCTTCCTTGCAGAAGGAAGGGCACTCAGTTCACAGGAGCCACAGAGACAGGGAGGACCCTCTGGCGTGTGGCTGATATGGAGAGAATTAGCCTGCCTCTCTGGCTAGGTTCCCTTCCCTTACGCCCCCCTGTTCAGCCAGTACGGTAACCTGAGAGTGTCCATGAGGGAACCGGGTAGAGGATGGGGAAGAGACAGAGGCCTGGCTAGTTCTCGGACAGCCCTGGCCCAAAAAGGAGCAGAGCGGTGATGAGAAAGGACAGGTGGGGTCGGAAGAAACCCCTCTTCCTTCTCTGAGCCTCCGTGGTCCCCACCTGGTCCTAGGCCCCCACACGGGCGGGTCACACCGAGAGGTCGTCTGACCTGGCCTTGCTGCTGGCCTTGCTGAGCCGGCGCTTGTCCCTCTGGTAGCCCTGGGGGAGGCCGTGCCCCGGGGAGCCGCTGCCGTTGGGCACCTTGGGCTTCTGGGTGTAGAGGATGTGAAGGAAGCCCTCCCCGGGCATCTGCTCCTGGCCGTGCACCTGCTCGGCGGCCAGGTTGTCTGTGTTCTGCTGGGAAGCCATCCTGTTGCTGAAGGGGCTGAAGAACTTGCCCCCGGGACCGTTCTCCAGGCACTGGCTGAAGTCGGGGGGCGGCGTGCAGCCCGGGGCCTCGCCCGCGGAGGGGCCGGGCAGCTGGCACTCGGCCCTGCCCTGCCCCGCCCGGGCCAGCCGCGGCCTGAGCTTCTTCCAGGCCAGGTGGTAGAGCTCGACCAGGCTGAGGAAGAGGGACAGCCCGGCCACGGCCAGCATGAACACGATGAACACGTTCTTCTCCGTGGGCCGCGACACGTAGCAGTTGACGGCGTGCGGGCAGGGGCTGCGGCGGCAGACGTGCAGCGTGTCCAGGAAGATCCCGTAGAGCAGGTACTGGCCCACGATGAAGGCCACCTCCATGGTGGTGCGGATCAGGATGCTGCACACGTAGGTGTTGAGCAGCGTGCCCCGGAGGACGACCTTCCCGTTGGCCTCCTCCCAGCAGGACAGCTCCGTCTTCTCGGCCACCGGGTACCCGTAGGGGCCTGTGGCCTGGCCCTCCTGAGCCCCGGGGGCGGCCTCGCGCAGCCGGCGCTTCTCCTGCGTGCGCACCGTGTGGATGGCGTGGCCCATGTACACGAGCGACGGCGTGGACACGAAGATGATCTGCAGCACCCAGTAGCGGATGTGTGAGATGGGGAAGGCCTGGTCGTAGCACACGTTCTCGCAGCCCGGCTGCATGGTGTCGCACTGGAAGTCGGCCTTCTCGTCGCCCCAGGAGGACTCGGCCGCCGTGCCCAGCACCAGCATGCGGAAGATGAAGAGCACCGTGAGCCAGACCTTGCCGATCACCGTGGAGTGCTTGTGCACCTCCTCCAGGAACTCCCTCAGGAAGCTCCAGTCGCTCATGGTGGCTCAGCAGAGGGCAGACACCTGCAAAGAGGGGGAGAAGAGGAGTAGGGTGCTTCCGCCAAAGTCTGGGAGCTCCAGTCCTGCCCTGGGAGGCCACTGATGCATCCCAGTGCGTGCTCTAAGAATGTGCAAGGAATACGTCAAATTCAGCTAAGAAGCTCTCTTCCCCCCCACTTCCTCTACCCCCAACAAAAATACAAAGAAAGAGATGAGAAGTGGTTAGAGTAGCATGACCAGAGCATGGTTCCCACACTCCAATGGATCTAGAAATGAACTGAGATGTGTGTTACAATGTGGATGCTGTGCTCTTACCCCCAGAGATTCTACTTCAGTGGGTCTGGAGTCTTCCCCCCTTCCCCCAAATCTGGATTTGCGATATGCAGACCAGGTGATTCTGAGGCAGTCTGGCCAAGAACAAGACCCGGAGCCTTGCAAATCTGCAAATGTGACTTGGCACAAGCTCTCTGAGCCTGTTCCTTGCCTGTGACATGGGGATGGGAAGAGCTACACCAGAGCTACACCCCGATGCTCAAGGCCAATTGGAGTGTAGGGGCCCTTTTCAGAGTACGCTGGATGTTCAAGGCCACTGTGAGAGTGGGGATCTTAATCAGAATGTTCAAGGTTAAATTGCTATATGTAGGTGCAAAAGCAAGGATGCAGCAATCTATGCACTGTGCCAGCGTACCCTTCTGTAATTCAAATAATATTCAGGTCACTATTTGGCATAAAGCTTCTTTCGCTTAAGCTTGTTTGTGCTTGTATATAAGTTGCCACTGACCAACCGGCAGTATGCAGCTGCTACTATGTTAGGCTCCTGGATTAGCTCCTAGTCTGAGGCTGTAGCTCTAATAATAGCTCTTGTGTAGCTCCTATATTGGAGGCTACTTTATGGGAAAGATGGGATTCTACTTTGAAGAGCTGTTTTGTCTAAGGGCTCCTTGTAAGCAATGGCTATTTGGTCTGTAATAAAGACTGTTATATATCCATGACTTCTTATACCTTCTCCATCTACCACCTGGCATCTAAGGAGGTCCAGTCCCTGGCAGAGGGGCTTGGACCCAACAGTTGGCTTAGTCGGGCAGGATTAGGACCTGTGTACCCAACAATGTGATATGTTGAAATACCACAAATGTCCCACGTGTTTGAATGGCTGTTAGGTGGAAAACAAAACTTTTATGTCTCCAGAGGGCAGGACTAGGTGGAGGAGGAAAGAGCGAGTGCCAAAGGCAGCCCTCCTCAGGAAGCATTCTCTAAACATCAGAACCATCCAGTATGGACCAGGTGTATTGGGCGGTAGTGAATAAAACGTCTTGGGTCACACCAGGTAGGTATCACAGATGACTGCTCAGGTTCCCCAGCTGCAAGCAGTGGGCAGTGTGGGTCCCCTGCACCTCAGCGCCATTGCAGCTGTACAGCTTGGCTTGGCCTCCTGCACACACAAAGAAGGTACCCACCACAGACCTGCTCACACTCACATCTAGATAAAGGCCCCAATCCCTTATGTCCCATACAAAACCTTCCCTCGTTAGGCCCCTGCTTGCTTCTCAGCCTCATTTCCTGCCTGTCCCTTTTAGTTGCCTTTATCCCACCATGCCAAGTTGGGAAGATTCCCAGATGTCCTCCTCCAAACCACCTCTGATAGCCCCCCTCCATCCCAGCTGAATCCCATGTACCCTTCAGAACTGACCCAGTCGTGGCTGCTTCTACCCTCTCTGCTCTCTCAGGCTGAGCCTCTTCAGCTCCTGCGGTGGCCCTGGGGACACTCACTCCTCCCCTACACTTGCCATCTTGTTTTGTAATGCTTTGTCCAGCTGTGTTCTTCCAGTCAGGGTTCATGGAGACCAGGGACTGTCTTTTCCTCTGTATCATCATCACCTGACCCAGAGCCTGGCCTAGAGTGGGTGCTTAGTGATAGATCTTCTCTTCCTCCAGTTGATGGACAGACGTAAAACCCACCTGTGGCCAGACATTCCTGAGCTCTGAACCGCCAATCAGCACCTGCCAAATACCCTAAGCCTCTGGGTCCCTAATCACCAATCAGTGTGTGCTGAGTGCCCTAAGCCCCGCCCCCTATCCTTAAAGGTGCTTGTACCCCAGCCCTTGCTCTCTTCCGCGCCCTTTCTCTGGAAGCAGCCGGCAGGGGTACCCTTCTCTCTAATAAAGGTAGCCATCCCGGTCTCCGGCTACCTTCTCTATTTAATCTATCATTTAGTATATCTTTGTTGAGTGAATTAAGAAAGGGGTTTCAAGCACTGGTGTTTCCTATCCAGAGGCGATCTCAGTCCCTATTCCTTTCCTTGGTCCCATCAGTAGGGTAAAAGGGCAAAGGTCACTTTTTCAGTCTCCACTGCATCTAGTTCAAGGTCATTGAGGTGTGGGGAGAGACCGATGTGGAGGGAGTGCTCTAGGAAAATGTTTTTCCAACCCTCAGGAAATGGAGGGAGCCTCTGAAGAAGTCCTCCCTACCCCACTCCTTCCTGCCTGTGGACAGGGTTGTGTGAGCCAAGATGGCTGAAGTTGCCCAGATCTCAGAAATAGTAGATAGTGCCCTGAGGCCTCTGAAACCACTGAATCTCCTACCTCTAGAATTCTTATTGATGAACAATAAATGTCCTATGGCTTAAGCTTCTAATCAATTCTCTGTATATATTCATTGATGTTTAAATATTTGTTTAGAGAGAGGAAGGGAGAGGGAGAAGGAGAGGGAGACACACACACACACACAGAGAGAGAGAGAGAGAGAGAGAGAGAGAGAGAGAGAGAGAGAGAGAGAGAGAGAGAAATGTTTATGTGAGAGAGAAAGAAATGTTGATGTGAGAGAGAAACATGAACCAGTTGACTCTCACATGTACTCTGGTCAGGAATTGAACCCACAACCCAGATATGTGCCCTGACCAGGAATCAAACCAGTGGCCTTTGGTGCATGGGATGATGTTCAACCAACTGAGCCATACCAGGCAGGGCAAGTTTCTAACCAATTCTAATCAACCGAATGACAAAAGGTAAAGAACGTGAGGGGAGGATAGGGGAGGAATATTCTTAGAATCATAAAACCTCAGACTCTGATGTGGCATTAAAGATTGTCAAGCTCTGCCGAGACAGGTTTGGCTCAGTGGATAGAGCGTTGGCTTGGGGACTGAAGGGTCCCAGGTTCGATTCCGGTCAAGGGCATGTACCTTGGTTGCGGGCACATCCCCAGTAGGGGGAGTGCAGGAGGCAGCTGATCGATGATTCTCTCTCATCGAGGTTTCTAACTCTCTATCCCTCTCTCTTCCTCTGTGTATAAAATCAATAAAATATATTTTTTTAAAAAAATTAAAAAAAAAAGATTGTCCAGCTCAAACCTTGATCTTCACATTTCTGCTGCCAGTATGCCCTGGTCTTTATACATGTGAGGAAGAAGTGGGTGGAAGTGCCACATTTCATGGCCCGGGTTTCTTTGGCTCCTGAGCTGATTCCTTGACAGAGATCCACCAATACCTCTTACCTCCCTTCACATTCCCCAGCCCTGAGAGCACAGAGAGTCTCTGGGAATGAGGGAATCCATGCGTGAGCGGAAAGGGCCTTATCTCTCTTCCCCTCCATATCAAAGACCCAGCCCGGTCTTGAGGCTTTTCCTCTGGTTTGGATCAGACAATGTGGGAAAACGTGAAGCGTTTGCTCAGAAGGAAAATGCCCGATTAGATAAGAGTTTAAACGGGCTGTCATCTCTTCTGGGCACGTGCACAGTGCTCAGCACCTTCAGGGTCAGACACACAAGTGTGGGGACTGGGATGTGATGAGGAAGAGAAGGGGGTGGGAGAGAAGGAGAGAGGATGAAGAGCACGAGGAGGAATGAAAAAAGGTAAAAGACGAGGGGGAGTTGGAAATGGAGAAAAACATACCATGTATCGATTAAGAGAAGGTGGCTTGGGGGTTAGCTAATTGGAACTCAAATCCCTGTTATCTGCTGAGCTTGGAAAAGTAATTGGATTTGTGTCTCAATACCCTCACCTGCAAAATGGTATATTATTTATCTCAGAGAGTATTATGAGGTGGTGGGTACAAAGCACTTAGCATAGTGCTCAGTATATAAGGACTGAATAAAAGGCAGCCATTTCCAGCAAAGACAGTGGTAGGGAAGAACAATAATTGGAAAAGGAAAGAGAAAGAACAAGTAGAAAGATTACAAAGAAGAAGAGAGAAACAGAGGGAAAAGCAGAAGGGAGGAGTGGGGAGGAAAACAGATGCAAATACAAAGTGAGTGAAAAGAAAGAAAGAAATGTCATACACTTGTAGGATTTGGGGCACATTTTACAAACTCTCCTCAGGCCCCGAAGACTTCTCCTCTGATCTTCCGACTCTCTCACTTATTCCTTGCAAGTCCCCAGGGAAGTGTAAAATAGTTTCGGGCAGAGAATGTGATGCTCTGGTTTGGTCTGCCAATAGTCTGTTGCGGACTTGGTGGGTCACCTGGAAGGAGTGAAGCAGGGACAGAAGGGGACATCATGGAATCTCAGAAAGACAGTGTTGGAAATGATGGCTCCTCAGGAAACAATAAGAGAAAACTGGCCAGGGCGGGGTGGGGTGGGGCTACCTCACAAGGCCTTGATGGCAGCAAACAGGGTGAAAGACCTCTCGTTTGTGACTTCCTGAGTGACTCAGGCAAGGTCAGAAAAACTTAAAATTGTTACCACGTACCAGCTACTCAGTTTATAACGTGAAAGATCTCCGACTGAAGTCAGTTTTCTAACTACACTAAGTCCCCTTTGGCTCTCCCACAACCTTAGCCCAAGAAGCTTGGAAAGGCCTGGGAGTGGTGTTGGAGGGGGTCAATGAGGAAAAAAGGGGACATGCACCGTACTTTCAACAATAAAGATACATTTGAGCCCTAATTGGTTTGGCTCAGTGGATAGAGCATTGGCTGCAGACTGGAGGGTCTCTGGTTTGATTCCGGTCAATGGCATGTACCTTGGTTGCGGGCACATCCCCAGGGGGGAGTGTGCAGGAGGCAGCTG